TGGTAGGTAAATCTAGCAATTGTAAGAAAATCTAAAAATTGTACTTGATAAGTAAATGCTGATTTCAAGAAAGATAAGAGGATAAGGGTTTCGGGTAGTTCATTGTTTATTATTTTCATTTTGTTATTCAATTTTTTGATTTAAACAAATTTTGCTAGATTGAGCTTCACAAAATATTATTATTATTATTATTATTATTATTGTTATTATTATTATTGTTATTAATATATGGCAAACTAAAAAAATATAATTAGTAAAAAATAATAATAATAATAATGATTGAGTTTCACATAATTTACGATATCATCTAATATGTGACGAGCTAATATTATGAAACCCTTAGAAAATAATAATGTATTTATATTTTATCATAAGTGCAATTTTTGTTCCTAAAAATAAAAATTAAAAAGTACAATTTTATAATTTATCATAATTTTTGTTTAATTTTTACTAATTACATTATGATTCATGTTATTGCTATTTAGAACTTATAACATAGCGTTAATGGTAAGAAAAAAAAAATTATAAGCGAAATTGTGATAAAAATAATTAAAATTTTATTAATTTATTTTTTTGCTATTTAATTTTAATTTTAAAATTAATTATTAATTATTTATTTAAAACCGTACACATGGATATTACGCTAATATAAATAAAAGAAAAATGAGGACCTTTAGAAATTTTAAATTATTGTTATTATTTTTTATCAAATTCAAAATCCAAACAAACTCCAATACGGCGTCCCATATTCCTGGCCAACGAAAATGGGGCGTTCCCATCCTTGCTTTGCGATTTCTCACCATATCTATGCAGTTTTCTGGACCACGTTTTTAAAATGGATACGGATTGTTTCCAATTCATTGATACTGTTTCCAGTCCGACTTAGACTCGTGGGATTTATTATGAGCCAAAATTTAAACTGTTTAATATATAAGACCCGTTAAGTATTTTATTTTTATAAAAATCACATCAATTAGATCTCGATAATTTCTTGATCAAAACATATTTTTGTTAACATTTTATTTTTAAAATTATATTTATTATTGATAAAAATATGATTTAATCAAGTAGTTATTGATATTTGATCAACATGAATAAAGTATTCAACGAAATCTATATATTGAATAATTTAAATTATCAAAATTAAACTTATAGTGAATTTCATAGACCCAACAATACGTTACCGTTTGATTTTGGATCGAAGACCAGCCTCATCCTTTTTAAATCATAAAAAAAAATAATAATAAAATTAAATTAAATTGTCTACATTTTCTATCCCCTTTTTTCTCGATGATAAGATCACTTTCCTGGAAAATGTTGCCTCCCTTTACGTCATGGCTTAGCACATCCCTTTTATCTCTCTCCCCCATCAATTTTCTCTATAAAGCTTGTGTTCAATTTGGATGACTGAAATAAAATTAGAATAATATGATTTTGAATTTCTCATAATTTTATGATTTGTAATGAATTGAAATGAAAAAATTGATTCGTAACTACCTATTTAAATTAAAATCACTTTTCAAAATAAGCAAAATTCAAAATTTTATCCTAAAAATCAACCAAACTAAATATTTAGTAAACAATTTATAAGTAAAAAGACTAAATGAATTCATAATATTTATTAGGAAATTCTTTTGGTACACTCCTTGTTTCATATGCACTTAATTATAAATTTTTCTAGTATATGTTACATACTTTTGTGGTATAAATGTACGCAATTTTAGTAGGGAGTTTCTATTTGCACATAAAAAATTATTAGGTTGGACATTTCAATTTAATTATATATATTTTTTAATTACTATCAAGTCTCTATTTAAAATGATCAAAAAAGACTTGACATTGGAAAAAATGTAAATAAAAGTGTTTTGGATACCCGATTAATCATCAATCTCAATATTTTTTTCTCTGTTCTTTTCCTACTTTCATCACTTTGCATCTTTATACCTAACATTAACCCAACACTATTTGCTTTAATTCATCATTCTTATATTCTTTTTCATATTGAAATAAACAATGGACAATAAAGAAAATGTTTCTAAATAATTTTCTATAAAAAAAAAGTAATTTTTAATTGTTGCTCATCGTTTTTCGCAATTTGGTTTTTCGAATTCATTCGGAACTAAATATCCGAACAAATTTCATATGTTTGGAATTAAGTATCCAAACAAATATCTTTTGTTCGACACTAAGTATCCATATGAAACAACTAAAACCAATTTTCTTGTGTTCAACACTGAGTGTTCGAGCAAACTTTATATGTTTAGAATTAAGTATTCGGACAAATATATTTTGTTCGGCACTAAGTATCCATATGAAACAATTGAACCGATTTTTTTGTGCTCAACACTGAGTATCCGGAAACCAGTAGTCACCAATAGATGTAGAATATAGGAGTGTAAAAATGGCCCGGGGTCCGTGGGCTGCCTGAAACCTGCACGCGGCCCGATGTGGGCCCTACCCGTTTAGGCCCATTTGGTCCCGAGCCTGAGCCTAGCCCGAGACCCTAGGCTAGAGCCTGGGCCATCATTTTGAAGCCCGGGCTGACCCGTGGGCCCGATCTATTGGCCTGCTTAAGGCCCACTCAAGGCCCGGTCCGCCCAAGGCTGAGTGTTTTTTTTTTAGTGAAAAATAATAAAATTTTGGTGGAAAAAATAAAAAAATAAAAAAATTTGTTTAGGCCCGCCCAAGCCCAAGCCCAAGCCTAGGCCCACCGGCCCGCTCAAAGCTCGAATACCCCATGGGTCTAGGCTTAATTTTTTGGCTCGTAGACCGACTCGTACCGAATTTTGGTGGGAGCCCGCGAGGCCTGACATGGACTATACCGGGCCAAATTTACACCCCTAGTAGAGTGGAAGGAGATCATCGTCTGATATACAGTGAGAGGTTACTGCCGGTAGATGTAAAATGGGAGGAGACCTTCATCACTTGGAATCCCCCTTTGTCTCGAATGAATCTTCTTCGTCGCTTAAAATTCTTATTATAAATTTGGAAAATTCTCTGATGTGCAATGCACATCGTATGCAACTCTACCATAAAATTATATAAGTTTTCACTAACTTACATAAGTGATATTATAAAAATGTGTAAATTGAATATTAATTTGAGTAAAACTTACATAATTTTGTGATAAAATTGTATACAGTGTGCAAACATTTTCCAAATAATTTCACTAGAAGATTACTTAACATGGGTTACAAAAATAGGTAACTAGCAAAATGCATAACAGAGAGAACAAGAAATTTCGAATTCACAATATTCTAATAACGTATTCTCTAAATTACATGTTTTAGAAAATTTTGGCTGTCTTTTATTTTTATTAAACCTTTTTTAATATTGTAATTAATTTTTAGATATACCTAATTTAGATACATCTAAAAAGTAAAAAATAAAAACAAAATATAAAATATAAAATATAAAAAAATACTAAAAATGAAAGAAATATTTTTTTGATAGTATTTTATTTATTATTTATTTTATTTTGTAAAGCATGTATATTTGGTGCATTAAAAAAGTTTTTAAAAAAAATTATTAAAGACAAAAATCCACCAATATTCAGTTTTTGAAAAATCAAATCAAATATACCTTAAATTTTGGAGCACGATTTGAATAAATAATATCAAATTAACGTATATTTTGCTAAAAAATTTACTTAAATTTGAGGACCAATTTTGAAAAAAAGCTAGAATATGATAACTGTTGTAAAATTTACGAGTAATTTTTGTATGTGAATAAGATATATATTATGTGATACTTTTTATTATTACGATTGATTTTGATAATAAAATCAACTATGTTTATATTAAATATTTGAAAAATAATAAGAGACTTATATATTTGTAATTGACGAATGATAACAAATATCTTATTAACATAAAAAAAATAAAAAAATTTCTCAAAATTTACCGTTTGGTTTTGGAACGGTTTTCAACTGAAAAAGAGTGTAGCATTATGTTAGTGTAGTGTTATTTAATTGTTCATAGGCATCCAAGGCATCCTCTATAAATAGAGTGCCTTCTTTGTGTAATTTAAATATACAACATATAGAAACAATTGTGCCTCTCTCTCTCTATTCGCTCATCTCTATCTTCTCTTACTTTCTCCAATTATTATTTCAATTTGAAAAACAATAAGAGGCTTATATATCTGTAATTGACGAATGATAACAAATATCTTATTAACATAAAAAAAATAAAAAAATTTCTCAAAATTTACCGTTTGGTTTTGGAACGGTTTTCAACTGAAAAAGTAAATGGATCGGCGTAGCGTAAGCGCTGGCCTCATCAACCAACACGTGGCGTGGGATGAGTTACTCCACCAAGGATCCTCTAGAGTGAAATTTTCTTAAAATTTTCTAGAGTGTTACATTGTGTGGTTGAGATTTACTGGCAAGTCACATCAGAAAAATTGATGTGACTTGCCAGTAAATCTCAACCACACAATGTAGCACTCTAAGAAACTTTAGGAAAAAATCACTCTAGAGGATCCTTGCTCGAGTTACTCCCCCAAGGCAGTATAGTTTTTTGAAAAAATAACAAATCAGTGAATATTTGTAAAAATAATTCGACATATGTGAGAATTTTTTTTAAACTTTAATAACTAAAATTATAATTTTTTTCATAAACAGTAATTTTTTTGACAAGAAATCACTGATGCGTAATTTTTCTTAATTTTTTTTGATAAATTACAAATATATCATTCGGATTTGTTTAAAATTTAAATTATTTTTTGTGATTCTAAAAATTATATTTTGTCTTTTCAAATTTCTTGTCGCATAATAAATAGTCTCTTTTGTTAAATTATTAAGTTAATTAATAATTTTTAATAATATCAAAAATGTATTTTAATAATTTTATTATTACGTAAGAGAATAGTAGAAATTTTTTGATTTCTGTTAATTATGTTAAATGAAAAATGATAATAAGAGGTATTTTTAAAATCACATAGAAAGTAATTTATATTTTAAGTAAATTTAAAGGCTGTATTTGTAAATTTTTTTTTCTTAGAGGGGAAGCAATATAGCTTTTCAGTAGTCAAATTTGTGTGCTGGTGTACAAATTGCAAGCAATCAAACCTATATATAAACCTCCATTTTTGACTCCAACTCCAAATTCTTTCTCATCAATGTTTGTGTTTACAGGGAAGTTAGTGACTGACTAAGATCTCTGAATCATCTCCCTATAATCTCCTCATCTGGGTATGATTCTTTCCTTCTCTCAACTTCTTCTCTTTTGTTTCTCTCATTTGATTTCCTTTTCATATGTTGTATGTTTCCATTTTCTTTTTCTGGGTTTATTTTCTGCTGAGTTTGAAATTCATATGCAATTTGAATTGAATTTCTTGGTACCCAATGTATTTATTTATTTGTTTTTTAAGGTGAAATATATATGCATTAGAATTACCATTTTATGTGGGTGCTATTGGTTAGTTCATTTCAGTGATGGAATTGAAGTGATGATGATTGAAAATTTATTGTATGCTCCTCCGGTAATGCCTTGACAGCCTCCTGAGCCACATGGTCTTGTGGGCTCCTTGCATTTATCCGCAGGCCACACATGATCGTACGGTTTCTATAGGGGTGGTAAATCAACAAAACAATTCAAGCTCGATTCGTTTTTGGTTTGTTCCAATTTGTTAAGTAAATAAGCCAATTTTGAACACATTTTAAAATTTATTAAAGTTTTCAAATCAAACTTGAAGAACCAATTGTTCGTTCCACTCATAGATCTAAATATCAAAAGGTATGTATCGTACCGGTCGATTCGTACTAAAAAATTAGAGCGCCGATTCGGATATGGGCCGGTGTACCGTTGAGAATGAAATTTGCAATCGTAACGTCCGAGTCCCGGTACGTGTCGGCCTGAATCCGATACATGGGCGATACAGTCCAATATAGATTTGCAGTCACTGGTACGAATGAAGTTGGAGCAGAGAACCTATTTTGTTGTTGTTGTGCTGTGCTTTTGGTGAGTTGTTATGGGTTTTTCTATGCTCTGTTTCTGTTTTGTATTTCATTTTTTTTTCTTGTCTTGTTTTAGTGTCGATCTAAAGCTGGAATATTTGTCTGGGTTTGGCCGGAAAAGCCATTGTTCTGCAACTTTCGATCAGGGTCAACCATCTTTTAGAGAGAGAGAGAGAGAGAGAGAGAGGGGATAGGAATGTTTGTGGTTATACTATGGTATGGAAGATTGAAATAGATAAGAAGAGAGAGGTACATGAAGGTGCGTGTGTTTATGGTAGATTTGTAGATTGTAAATGTTTAGGTTTTTTTTTTTTTTTTTACACCTACATCATTTTTTAAAAGTTTAACATATCAATTTTTAAAATATTTCCACATCAATTTTTTTATTAAAAATTTTACATATGTCAGAAAAAGTTTGAGACTAAAATAAATACATATCATTTAGTTGAAAATGAGTTAAAAGTGCTCCTACACATCAAAATTTTGATTAAAATGCGAAAAATTAAGGCTAAAAGTGTAAAAAAAAAAAAAAAAAAAAAACATAAAATTGAGTTTTGGAGGGATTACTAATGATTTTTAAAATTTCACGGCCGCGACACCTAATTCCCGACACCTAATTCCCGATACGTATCGGCCGATACTATTGAAACCAATACTCCGTGATCAATACCATTACGTTACCCGATATCGCGATTTGGAACTATGTTCTGCTTGGTTCGTACACATAAAACAATATAAAAAAATCAAACTACTCGAGTTCAATTTGACAAAAATTTGTTTAAGATCAGCTCCAAAATTTAACAAAGAAAGCTTGAACAAATTTTGAATCTCCTTAAAATTTTCAAACCAAGCTTAGAGTTAACTATCCAGCTCGTTTGACTCGTTTTTCATCCAACGGCCTTTACTGTTTGAAGTTTCTTTCCTTTTAGGCTTCTGATTTTCTATTTCCTTTCTACAAACATCTTAAAGTCAAATATGCTTTTTCTGCTTTTCTGTTTCATAGTTTGTTAATTGGAAAATATGCTCTTGAATCGCTCTGAACTAAGTGTGCTATCAATTGTTTTGTTTTGTGCATTTTGAAATCGATATTTTGTAACTGACAATCATTTCCTCTTTTCAATCTTATTGTTATTCACTAGAGATATTGACATCAACAGGACCAAAAATGGCACGATGTTCGCAATTTCGGTTGTTTTGCTTAGTAACTCTACTAGTGGCTTTAAGCCTTCCAAATTCGCAAGCTCGTGTCAAGAATGAAAATGCTATAAAATCCGCTATATTTTTTTCCCCCAAGTTTGTACTTGAACCTGGATCGGTGGCCGACAAATACTACTACAATATTGACTTTCCAAGCGGTCATATCGCTCTCAAGAGTTTCAATGCTGAAGTAGTTGATGAGGCGGGGAATCCGATCCCCCTTCATGAAACCTATCTCCACCACTGGGTCATACTTAGATACTATCAACGCAAAGGCACTGAAGTCCAAACACACAACGGAAGCCCGGGTTTTGACCAATCTGATACAATCATAGTGAGGAACTCTGGATTATGTGAGACTAGTCTTGGGCAATATTTTGGGCTCGGTTCTGAAACACGAAGAACATCCACACACGTGCCAGATCCTTATGGTATAGTTGTTGGTGATCCAGAAGAGATTCCCGTTGGATATGAGGAGAAATGGTTGTTGAATGTCCACGCGATTGACACACGTGGTGTGGAAGAGAGATTGGGATGCACCGAGTGTAGGTGTGATCTCTATAATGTCACGGAGGATAAGAATGGCCGGCCTTTGAAGCCTGATTACATAGGAGGCTTGGAATGTTGCTATGATCAGACTCGGTGTAAGGTTAGAGAAGGGTTTGAGAGTGTCAAGAGAGGGCTATACATGAGATATACGGTTAAGTGGGTCGATTTGGATGCTTCTGTTGTGCCGGTTAAAATTTATATATTTGATGTTACCGATACTTGGAAAAAACTGAACGATTCGACTGGACTCGGTACAAAACACAATTGCTTGGTGAGTTAAATTTCTCTATGCATATTATTTTAGTTATCTTCAATAAAGGGTATATATGATCGAAAGAATTTTGAAAGGGAAAAGTGGGGGCAAAATGTGAACTTCTATTGGAAAACCGTGTAGTTGTGTTGTTTTTACCGTTTGTTATTCATTAATTTGTCTTCCAAATACTTAAGTCATTGAAATTATTTGATACAGGTGGAGCATCAAGTTGAGTCTTGCTCAGCCAGTGATATAACTAATGATGGTTGCATTGACAAACGAACAGTAAGCCTAACTATGCCCACCGGTGGTAGTATTGTCTATGGTGTAGCACACCAACATACGGGAGGAATTGGTTCAACTCTCTACGGAGAGGTAATTTTCGACAACAAATTTCTTGTTTTTTATGTCTTTGTTTTTTTTTAACCTCATATATTTTCATCTGTTAATAACAGATCAAATTTTCATACATTTTGTTCGACTTAGCCTCTTAAACTACCAACAACAATGGTTTTAATAGGTTAATAACTTCTATTAAGATGTATCTGTTGGTTTTTTTGACTTTCGAAGGTTAAAAAATATAATTAGAGCATACTAGTAAGGATCAATAAGTTCTTACAGAAATAGTAAATGTCAACCAATTAATCAGATAATTGCTTCAAAGTTCTTTTAGCTTAGCTTAAATGAAGAGGATTTTTATTGGTAATTTGTTTTAGGAGAAAATTCAGAAGAATTAATCAAAAAAAATAAAAAAAGGAGAGAGAGAACAGTGTCAGAAATTGAATTTCATTAGGTAAACAGACGTTTATAAGAGTACCTTCACACTTCCACAGCTTCAAAGGGACTTACAGCAACGAACAGATTAACTTAGAACTACTCTTAAGAAATTGAAATGTAGTGTAGGAAAATAAAAGACTGAAAAGTAAACAACTGGAAAATAAAGAACTGGAAGAATGTAAAGTAAAATAGATTGATTTTTTAATCTAGTTTCGATTCTTGTAAATGTAGCCATCAATGGCTATTTATAGGAAAAAAATTTCTAGCAACAACTACCCAATAATCACCTACAACTACCCACTCTTCCACCATCATTTCCACAATGCCACATATCCCCCAATGTCTTCCACTAAGTCACTTTATTAATCATATTCTTCACATGTGCTTTAACTTCTTTTATCTTGTTTTCCATGTTCCGCCATGCAAAACCACTAACTTTGTAACTTTTCTTAATTCCTACTTGATCAAAAAAGTGTCACGTGCCTTGCAATAATAATAATAATAATACTATTTATGGTGTCAATAATATCATAAAAACAAAACTAGTTAATCATGTCATTCAAGTTCTCAATCATCAAAACAAGATGTACTCAATTAGAGAGATCTATCTGTAATAACATACTCTTACTAGGTGTTTGTTTCGAGGGAATGAGGGGTGGGATTTGGACTAATGGTTCGTTATTTGGTTCAAAATTTTTACATTGGACTATTAGTCTCAAATCCATTGGATTATTAGTCCCAAATCCATTGGACTACTATGCCCCATTGCCGGGGGGATGGAACACAAATGGAGGGATAAGGGGGGATATGGGATTAGATGACGAAATGATCATTTTGACTCTCTACTATTTAATTATGTATTATATTTAGTAAAATTCAATAAAATTTAAATGTCTCAATTTAAAAATAAAATAATTTTATTTAATTTTTATTGATGTTTTATTTATTTAATTTTTTAAAATAATTTTTTATTTTTATTTTTATATTTTATTTAATTTCATTATTTAATAATTATTATTTTTTAAAATAAATTTATTTAAAATTTTAATTAAAAAATGACAAATATTTTTATTGATATTTTATTTATTTAATTTAAAAAAATAAATTTATTTAATTTTGTAAAAAATAAAATCAAATAAATTTTTATTTAATCTAGTTAAAAATAATTAAAGCATTAAAGATATGTTTAATATTACTTTTACTTAGTAAATAATTGAAAATGATAAAATAGTCATTTGAATATTTATCCTTCTTCATAATATCCCAAACAAACATAGGATTCATATCATATTCAACTAAATAATTCTTTCCTAACATTTAATCCCATGACTGAACAAACATGGGATACAAATCAAGTACAACCAAATAGTTCAGGACAGTTAATCTCAGAACTAACAGTCTAGTAAATTTGAATCCCCTTATCTAATCCGTCCAAATAAACACCCAGTTAAAGTATGTTAAAGTATGATCATGCCATCAAGATCATAAAAAAGCGTGGAGGCTTAATACACTGGTTGCCAATCTATTTTATTTGAATATCTTTGCTCCTTGAACTTGGTTGAACTCCTGTCATGTTCAAATTGCTATTAATTGCCACAAGTTTTTGTAATCTTATCGAAACCATCAATGAAATTGTTATGCAACAAATGTTTTTATGGTATTCATTTTCAACGTTTGTATGTGTGGCGGATTGAGTCAGGATGGACGGGTTTTATGCTCTTCAATGCCAACTTACGGAGAAGGAAAGGAAGTAGGAAATGAGGAAGGTTACATTGTAGGAATGTCCACATGTTATCCTAAACCGGGCTCTGTCAAAATATCTGATGGGGAGACTCTTGTTCTGGAATCTAACTACAATAGGGACCAAAGGCATACCGGAGTTATGGCACTGTTCTACATTTTGGTTGCGGATGATGCATCACCAAACGCCAATTCTTTACTCCGTTCTCCAGTTGAAGTAAGATTTTCAGTTGAATTAAATTTTTTTCAATAATTTATATGTTCCAGTCACTTCTTTTTCTGATTATAAACCGTTGAGATTACAAACTTGAGACCAAAAATAAACAAAAAATTCGACATCAATACCCAAACACGGAAACAATCCTCGTTTGCTCACTTTCTGTGTCCTTGGTATTTTTTTTTAGGCTATTGAATTAAATGAACAAGCAGATACAAAAGGAATTCAAGTAAAAATTGTAGGGTGTATCGACGGAAAAGAAATTGCAAACTAAACAAAACCAAAAAAAATGTAAAAAGCCAAACTAAGATATGCATCCTTTATATTTACTACTTTTGATTTGTTGAGGCACTAACATTTGTATATATGTAGAAGATAAAGAATAGTGATATATAAACTAAAAATTATATATAAAATTAATGCAAAATGACGTGACAAATCTTGATTTTATCACTTTAAAGCAAAAGACTTGATAAAATAGTTTATATTTTTAAAAACGTCACTGTAACATCATTATGATAGAAACATTTGTAAGAAATTTCATTTTCTGAAGATAAATAATGTTGATGGGTAAAAATTCTATCTAATTGATTTTCTCAGCAATAGATAAATGATTGAACTCCTAATTTTTTTATAAACTTAGTTTCTAGTCACTGAATTTCTAATGTTGCTTCTTTCTTTCTTTTGTGTGTGTGTGTGTGTGTGTGTGCAGAAGCATGAAAAGATGACATTACCCAATTCTCTTTGGGTTGTAGGCTTGTTTGGGGTTGCAGTAGCGATCGCCATTGTTGTTGCTTACCGCCAAAAGAGTGACAGAGAAGATGGTTACCAATCAATTGTAATGTGAACACAGTATATTGAGTTTTAATTATTTATGTTACATTTTCTGCAGATTCGGGTGATATATCAGATCATGAATATGAAATATTTTGAAAAATAAATTGAATATCTCCAGACTGTTCATTTTGTTATCTAAACACATATAATTGAATCAAGAGAGATTGACCAATAAGTCTCATAGTTTAGACTTGTAATTCACATAATCCTATATTTTTTCTTGTGATCAATTTAGTCATTTTAGATATGTAATGATTCATTTGCCTGCCACACTGGAGTGTCACATTTAGAAAAAGTACACTAAAGAATTGTTTTGGGGTCTACAATACAACAAAAAATTATATACAATGTAATTTTAACAATAAATCAATCAATCATAAAAAATAATGTAATGTTAAAATGAGAAAATTGGTGATAAACCTATATTCACACCCTTAAAAGTCATTAAGAATAAGGGTGGTTCTATTGGGGACGCAAGGACATTTGTTGGTCAAAAGTCCATTATTACCTATCTGTTGAAATTTTAATTTTAACCTATTTGTTCAAATCTTTTTTTCATATGTTCAATTTTTTGAACCTATTTGTTTAAATTTGTATCTATCTATCAAAATTATTTTACTATTTTTGATCTATCTATTGAAATTCACCACACGTATTTTTTTCATATCCGTTGAAATTTACCAAACAAACAATCTGTTAAATTTCACCAAGCTTATCTTCCTGTCTATTCAATTTTTTGAACATATCTATTCAAATTATACTACCGTTTATCTACATATATTTTTTTGAACTGAGAAACGCCCGAAGGCTACAGAGAGGCATCAACAACTAATAACTCCAAAAGTGCAGAAAGAGGATTTGTAGCCCAGTCAAAGGGAAGAGCACCTTGAAGATGAGTTCTTGCTAGCCAGTGAGCTACTTCATTGGCTTCCCTAGGAATCCAAGCAAATGACACATTTAATGTGGAACTCAATGAATGAATACCATGGATGATAGCTGAACATTTCCACAGGGGAACTAGTTCAAAAATATATAATTCAATCACCTCTTTGTTGTCACTTTACCACTTGAACATTCGAAAGACCCAAGGTGTCAGAAAACAAACATGGCAAGCAAATAGCACGTGTTTCTCCTTGTTTGGCTGAAGAAGTGTAAACAGTAGAGACCACTCCATTAATAAGTTTTCCTTGACCATCCCTCAAAGTAACAGCCAATACCGCTCTGTCATCAAACTTAGAAAAGCTAGTGTCACAATTAGACTTCATGGTGCCAAGAAGAGGTTTGAGTCATCTGGGATAATGGATAATTGGGAAAGGGTCTGGCTGAGAGTTAGCTAAAGATTGGTGCAGGATGTGATTAATTTTCTACCAATATCAAGAGGCCTGTTGATCAACCTGATGTGGATCAACACAAAAATGATTAAAAACCCACTCATTCCTAGCTTTCCAAATACACCACCCAACTGTGGTAGCCTTACTCACCAACCCCCTCATGTCAAGATCATTGGAGCAGTTTTGCATTATAGAGAGAGCTGAATCAATTGGATCATTCCCACTCCGGAGTCCCAAGTTACACCCAAACCAAACGGTTCTCGTCTAGCTACAATGGAAAATGAGGTGCTCAATGATCTCAGCACTTTCTTGACACATAGGGAAACTTTGAGAATGAGCACATTTCTGATGAAATAAATTTTCTTTGGTCCCTAGTCTGTTACTACAAACCCGCCACTAGAAATTTTGAATCTTTGGAGGGACCTTTAAAGACCAGATAAACTTCCAAAAACTCTTTGGGGGTTGGGTAGAGGAGGACGCCAATGAATTGCTTGCTGCTCATTTTTGGCTACCTTATATCCACTTTTGACTTCATAAGTGCCTTTGCTGGTGTAGTGCCATATCAATGTGTCATCTTGGCCCTTAGAAGAGATGGGAATGATAGAAATTTTTCTAATATCCTAGCTAACAATCCCAAGAGGTTTACCTATGTCCCAAACTGAGTGGTTCTGGTTGATAACATCTCCAACCCAATGCACTTGACAACTAACAGGTTTCGAACTTTGCGGGCTATAACGATCCCAATTTTGCCCCGGCCTTCATTGTGTTCCGAACTCGGGTTCCGTGATTGAATATTGTATCCATGCCTTGTTTTTCCTCTTTGACCCTTTGTGTTTGAGCTTTAGAACTTCTTGGGCGAGTTTGGAATAGGTTGGTTGTTACTTGGTCTAGGTTGTTGTTGCCCAGATTTTGGCTTTTTCGCTCGAGCGAGGTTTCTTGCACTCGAGCGAGCCTTGTGTAATTGGCTTCTTCGCTCGAGTGAGGTTTCTTGCACTCGACCGAGGTTTGGGGGTCCTCAGGTTTCTTTCCTAGACGCAGTTTTCTAGAAAGGGGAAGTTCTTCGCTCGAGCAAATCTGGTGAAATTGCTTCTTCGCTCGAGCAAGATTTCTCGCGCTTGAGCGTACGTGTGCGTCTATGGCAGACCTGAAGCTTTGCATTCTACACTCGAGCGACGTTTCTTGCGTTCGAGTGAGGTCACTTGTTATGTCTGGTCGCTCGAGCGAGGACTCATTTGCTCAAGCAAGGACTACGTATATCAGTTCGCAGCAGAGGATTTTTGTATCTCTTTTCACTCAAAACCCTAATTCGGTAGCCTCTCTATCTAAAACTCTCTCTCTCTCTCTCTCTCTCTCTGTGTGTGTGTCTACAAATACTCTAAGATCCAAGCACCTCTACCCTACTTCCTTTTAGAAAAAGGTAGAGCAACTCGTGGGCTTCCATTTGATCCAAGAAAAGTTGAGTTTTGGGCACCTTCGAAGTTCCTCCTTTTCTCCTTTGGGCTCCTACATTTGAGGTAAGGATATTCTACTCTTTAATATAAGTTTTAACCTAGGTGTTTGTCATTTTGTATAAATGGTGGGATTTGAGAAGATTTGGGTGAAGTTAGGGTTTGGATTTGAATTTTTGAAAGATGGGTTTTCTATATTTGGCCCCATGTATGTACGTGAGGTCTTGATTATGATGTTATATGAGAATAAGTGGTGAGATTGAGCCTTGGAGCTAATATTTGAAAAAAAAGAAAAAGAGAGATTTGCCTTAATGTTAGTTAAATAAATTATTTGTATAAATAATGAAATTGATACGAGAAATATGAAATTGGGAGGATGTGTAAATGAATGGTGCAGTTGGGTTTGATAAATCACTCACCTATGGAAAGTTTGGCAAATTATTTGTTTGATAGATTTGTTTATCTGTTTAGAAATATCTGTTTTGGTCTATCGGTGGAGGATAACTATGATTGTTGTAGAAACTGCATGATGATTAGATGAATTGAAACTAATCATTTGAATTATGTCATTGAATATGACGGTTTGATTAAACTATTGAATATGTGATTTGGTCAGTCATTGTATATGACAACGCTTTTGAATACATTGTATATGTATCATTGTTTGGGAGGAGATAGAGGATGTACTCCATTGTTTGGGAGGAGATAGGGGATAGACTCCATTGGAAATTAAGTTGGCCGAAGTGTCCAGGGTGAAGTCTCGAAATCTTATATATATGTGGGCGCCGGTTCCTACGGATGTGATTCCATAAAATGGCAAGAAAATGGAAGTGTTTGATAATGGTTGTTATTGAAGTGTTAATAAATGAGTTGTAGTCTCGTTTTGAATTGTTTAGATTATGATGAACTATGTCAATGAATTGATTTGGATAAATAAATAGAAATGGAGTGAAATATAGATGTTGATATTGATTGGTCATGGAAAATGGTGTAAGTTGATTTGCAAGTATTAAACATTTATCTGATACTGATATCTTAGTTAATTCTCATATATTGTTTTAGCATATCTTTACTGGGTTTTGGCTCACCCTACTTGGGAAACCATTTTTAGGTATAGGTGACATGCCACCTCCAAGGGCATAGTTTGAGAGGACCGGGCTGAAGGCTCTATTTTTGTTACCTATATGTTTATATGTTTTCTTCTTAAACCGATGGCTTTAATTGTAAAGTGCTTATGACTTTCACTTTTGTTGTAACCAAGTTATCTCTTGGAAAGATGTAAGCCCATAGGGCATTTATTTTGTTATTATTAATTAGTGTTACATACTGTAGTTTCAGAATAAATATTTATGAAAGTGTAATGCATGTAATCTCTTTTGTAATATAAACTCTGATGAATGAAAGTAATATATTTCATATTATGCTTGTGAATCTCTTGGGTTGATTTATACTATATTTTGAGGGCATTACAACTTGGTATCAAAGCGTACCAGGTTTGAATACTTTGGCCACGTGAGAAGTGGTTAGTACCACAATGGGTTTGTCTCGCTTGTTAGAGACTTAAGTATGATTTTATGTACTTCTGTTATAATATGCTTATGTGATTATATGGGTATGGAATTTAATTTCTAAGATGTTGATCGGGTCCATGGGTTTCCGGGAGTCCTGTTGGAAAGACACTTGATCACTGCCATTTCTAACTGAAACTTTAGCAACGCCACGGGACGGTCATTATCCGGAAATGAAATTTGTATATGTTTATGTGATTATGTGCTTATGTGGAGTGAATTACAGTTGTCCATCAAATTAGGATGTGAGTGAGATAGCTTCGGCACATTTGTAAATGTACTAATTTCTTTTGTTACCTTTATTAGGATGTCAGGACAAGGTCATGGTAGTAGGCGTGGTAGGCCTAAGAGGCACGAGATGCCTATACCGGATGAGATTATGGCGTAGGGGGAAGAAGTTGGTCAGGCCAATTTAGTCGAACAGGTTAGTCAGCAGGCCATGGGTGCCTTAGCCTATGAGATGGCCTCAACATTGAGGGAATCTATGGACATTCTCAAGACTGAGAATCAAGTCCAGGCCTAAATAGCTAAGGCAGGGCCGTCTATTCGGAAGAGGGAGTTCTTTTGGTCGAATCTGGACGAGTTTTTGGGTGACCTTAAGGAGCCACTGAAGGCTGATGAGTGGCTAGAACAGATGATGAAGACATTTGAGATGTTCGGCATAGAAGACGGAGGTTTGAGAGTGACCTTGGTGTCCTTCCAGCTGAAGAGAGATACAGGTCGGTGGTGGAAGTATGCGCAGGGGCGCATTAGAGGGACTTGGAAAGCTTTTGTTGATGTTTTCCAGGACAAGTACTTACCTGCTACAGTGAGGGAGAAGTTGAGGGA